TTCTTCGACTTCTTCTGAAACTACAAGCTGAATGCTTGATACTGATGTATATGTACCTTGGGTAGACCTCTCTCAGATTGTCATTTCATGATATCTCAATCTCTAATTTTGGTGAATATTTTGTCATTTTTGGTAAAAAGTGATATTTTCAACTTCTTGTTAAAACCCGCAAGTCTAATTGCTTTGATATTACATATATAGGTACTACATGTGGACCTCTCTCAGATTTGTTCATTTTGTAATGATATCTTTAATTCTCTAATTTTGGTGAATATTTTTGTCAGTTTTGGTAAAAAGTGATATTTTCGACTTCTTGTTGAAAACCGCAAGTCCAATTGCTTTGATATTACATATATAGGTACTACATGTGGACCTCTCTCAGATTTGTTCACTTCATAATGATATCTTCAATTCTCTAATTTTGGTGAATATTTTTGTAATTTTTGGTTAAAAGTGATATTTTCAACTTCTTGTTAAAAACCGCAAGTCCAATTGCTTTGATATTACATAAATAGGTACTACATGTGGACCTCTCTTCAGATTTGTTCATTTTGCAATGATAACTTCAATTCTCTAATTTTGGTGAATATTTTTGTCATTTTTGGTAAAAAGTGATATTTTCGACTTCTTGTTGAAAACCGCAAGTCCAATTGCTTTGATATATTATACATATAGGTACTATATGTGGACCTCTCTCAGATTTGTTCATTTTCTAATGATATCTTCTGTTCTTTAATTGCCATGTGCATTGCTAACAGCGGAGCTATCTCAGCCGACAGGCTGCTTGTTTAACCCACCCTGCACTTCTATTGAAGATGTGCTAGCATCTAGTCTTACAAATTTCATATTTGGTTTCACATGTACATGTGAATATGCTTGGATATATGTAGTACGGCAGTCATAAATCACAAAAATTAAGCATGTATAGATAGACAATTAATTCCTCAGTTCTTATACATATTTTTTGTCTAAATTACAATGACTGACAACAAGTATTTGTAATTTGCAAAACTTACTAGCTAACTGTTTGGATTTTGACTAAACAGCTGGCTTTTGAATCTCGCTGACGCTGACTTGTGGTCATGCCCACACTCTGCTAATCTATATTACAGTACTGTATTTTAATGCAATATATTGTCCTCTACCCCAGGCCGTATATGGTCAACCCATGAACAAATTGACTTGTCCTTTTGGAACGCAAGTGTACTGCAATTCTGTTGTTTATTTACTAACAGGTAAATCATAATGTATCAAATCGAGATCTCGTACAGAGGAAGGGTGGGTGGGGGGTTGACAGGGTCACACCAAAGAACGAATACATTATATTAACTTGCTGCAATTTATATGATCGAAGGTTCCTCAGCTCCATTATAAAAATGTGAAGATACAGTTGTCACACTTTCAGGAACTAATCAGCGACAGGAAAAGTGTCCTATGTTCTTTGTGTGATGAGGTGTTTTTATACAAAAGATTTTTCACTCAAAAATGATAAATGCGGTCACATTTTATGTCCCCTAGATTTGTCCAGAGTGGACACAGCCACAAGTCAGCAACAGCAATATTCAAAAGCCACGTGTTCATTCAAAACCCAAGCAGTTAGCCAAATCGCTAATGAGTTTGCAAATTGCCTGCCCCAATACTTCTGAGACTTGCCATATGAGATTCAAGCATTTAAGACAAAATATATGGAGCTCAATTGAGTTTGCAAATATTATTTTAGAATTCTGTGAGATTACCTGTCTAAGACTGAGAGAAATACGTGTATTGTGAGATTCACAGAAATAATGTGAAACCCACAGGAATCCTGTAAGACTCACAGGAATAATGTGAGACTCACAGAAATAATGTGAGACTCTCAGGAATAATGTGAGACTCACAGAAATAATGTGAGACCCACAGGAATAATGTGAGACTTGCAGAAATAATGAGAAACTCACAGAAATAATGTGAGATTCACTGGAATAATGTGAAACTCACAGGAATAATGTGAGACTCACAGGAATAATGTGAGACTCACAGGAATAATGTGAGACTTGCAGAAATAATGAGAAACTCACAGAAATAATGTGAGATTCACTGGAATAATGTGAAACTCACAGGAATAATGTGAGACTCACAGGAATAATGTGAGACTCACAGGAATAATGTGAGACTTGCAGAAATAATGAGAAACTCACAGAAATAATGTGAGATTCACAGGAATAATGTGAGACTCACAGGAATAATGTGAGACTCATAGGAATAATGTGAAACTCACAGGAATAATGTGAGACTCACAGAAATAATGTGAAACTCACAGGAATAAAGTGAAACTCACAGAAATAATGTAAGACTCATAGGAATAATGTGAGACTCACAGGAATAATGTGAGACCCACAGAAATAATGTGAGACTCACAGGAATAATGTGAGACTCGCAGGAATAATGTGAGACTTGCAGAAATAATGAGAAACTCACAGAAATAATGTGAGATTCACTGGAATAATGTGAAACTCACAGGAATAATGTGAGACTCACAGGAATAATGTGAGACTCACAGGAATAATGTGAGACTTGCAGAAATAATGAGAAACTCACAGAAATAATGTGAGATTCACAGGAATAATGTGAAACTCACAGGAATAAAGTGAAACTCACAGAAATAATGTAAGACTCATAGGAATAATGTGAGACTCACAAGAATAATGTGAGACTCACAGGAATAATGTGAGACTCACAGGAATAATGTGAGACTCACAGGAATAATGTGAGACTCACAGAAATAATGTAAGACTTGTAGGAATAATGTGAGACTCACAGAAATATTTCCGAAAATCTTGTGAGACTGAGATTTAGCTTTATGAAATAGTTTTTGACATATAAAGACAATGATTGTTGCTTTCGGGGCCAAAACAGATACATTTTGTATGTACTACAAAAACAGTGTTTTCATGATAAATGTTACATGTGTATTAGTGGTTTTGTTTTTTCTAATAAATACTATTGTGTGTCTTTGCAATCTTAATGTTTTTAGTTTGTAATAAATCCTAATTTTATTTGGTCTACAGTATAGAGTGTAGAGCAACAACATCAAAAAACCATACATGTTTTCATCCATTTTGCATCTTTAATATTGGAGATGTACATGTGTAGCATATGAGACTAGTTGTTGTTGTACAGTAAAGGTGTTTGACATTGTAATTGGAAGCAAGGTCATCAGTAAATCTGTCATGAGTTATTACTTTTCATTGTTATAATGCTGTCCATTATTTGCTGGCTCTTGCGAAAATGAAACCAGAATGTTTTCAGCAAATATGATTAATGAATCAACTGCAGTGCTATTCTTTGGGGGCCTTCCATGTAATTTGAATAAAATAAAGTTTTTTTTTATTTTTGGGAATGATTTAACTTTGTTTTTGCTAATGTGATTTGTTTCACCAATTTATCAAAATACTGTAGAAAGTGTAATATTCACTGGGTTTATTAGTTTTAGTGGATTGGATGTTACAGAAGTATTACACTCGTGTGAAGGAAATAATACAGTCTTTGGTTAACTTCACTGGGTTTTAATTTAGCACAAAACAATTATTTCTATCAGTACATTAATTATTAGCTGATTTTTATTTAATTATTAATTTTCACTGATAACTAGCTAATATCTGCCAAATTAAATCCACGTGAGCATGGAGGGTCCATATCCTTGGGAAAATTCTTTGAAAGTCTTTGGATTTTTTGACGTCTGGAAAGTCTTCGAGTTGTCGTTAAATTGCAGGAAAAATAAAATAATCTTTAAAAATCTTCAAATTTCTTCATAGTTATTAATTCATTTTAGAAAGGCCTGTTTTCTCGAGGGAACTACCATATCCTCAGAACTTTGATGAGCTTTGGTGATGAGGCTGAATTGAGGGTCAAAATGTCTTGGGAAAAATGCAAGAAAGTTTAGGAAAAGGTCTGGAAAAGTCTTAAAATCATTTGGCTTTTGGTGCTATGGACCATGACATGTAAAATAGAACTCATTGTTTTCTTGCCTAGTTGGTGAATTAATAACCTAGTGAAAATTGCTCAAAGCATATCAAAATTAAATGCCAGTGAAAATATTTTTTTTTACAGTAATTAAGCTTTATACAGTCAATTGTATCAAAACACTTTACTTATCTCGAAAATGTGACATTGTTTTGAAGGATTAAATACTGCTCTAACAAATCTTGAAATAATGATAGTAAAATAACAATCAGAAAAATGTTCCCATGAAACTCATGAAAATCAAACATTTTTGTAATTCTGGAACAAGATCTTGGTCTTGCATCAACAGATTTTGTTCAAACTTTGTAAATACATTGGACATAGACTCTTGATCACATTGTTTTGCAGATTAAATTCAAAATGGCCGTCTGGTGGCCATTTTGTTTTAGCAAATTCTATGCCAGAGATATAGAATTTATCTTTGAAATGCCTCTTTTATCAAGTATGCACGTACTCCGATATAAACTGACATTGAAAAAGTCATGAACTGTATTATTTTATGCATATGAATTCAAATTCGCCTAATTCAAGGTGGGTTTGGCTATGAAAACACAACTTTTCTTATTTGCTCTGAACCAGATGTGGAAAAATGAACATGTTGTTATTTTGCATAATTTATTCAATATTCAGCAGGATTAACTTGAATCTAGACTAATATCTTGCATAGGTGAGGACACTGAACCAGTAGTGCCCTAATAACATTTGAAACACACGAGGGCGCTCTACACAAGTTTCTAAATTTTCCTTTTTTCTCCTACAGCTTCTGTTGATGCATCTTTGACGCAAGGTTTAAAGAAAAGAGTTGGAGGATTACTTAAAAGTTACACAACTGCTTCTCTGTTCAAACAATGTGCCAAACAATGCACGCCTGCTTTACTAGTTGCTCAAAAGTTGCTGAAATTGAAGCCGAAATTGAGAATGCACACAGTAAGTCAGTTTCCTTATTCTGCATGTCTTTTATAGACATGGATGGGCACGGTTAAACGTACATGACGAAGAATTCAAAAGCATTGCAAAGTCTTTATATTTTGCTGAGTGAAAGTTTCCATTAAATGAAAAGTTGTGGTATCCAATCTAATATTTTTGTGATTTCTAGTTTGGTGTCATTTTTGAATCGTAAATGATCCATAATCCTACAATTGCGTTTATAATTAGTCCCGTTCGATGCAGTCCGAAAACGGGGACTTATGTTTGCC